AAGTTCTATATTTAATATTGAATACGCATAAGCACACATACTCGCCTGTTCGAGTATACATTATGTAACCGCTACACTTGTTTAATATACAAAAGTGTTGGATTTGTAAACATGTTGAGGGGAACATTTTTATGCTCGATATTTTATCGCTTTGCCTTTCTTCCAAGATATTACAGAAGTGATATCACTAAGTGAGAACGCACCAGTCATCGGTTTCACTTTGCCTGATATGACGTCTCGCATTGATGGACTCCGGGTGATTGCCGAACATCTTGTCTGCTATGGGGGTAAGCAGCTATTGCATGGAAGCCGATAGTTTATAAGATTTGTTTACTAATCGCAAATGGCCTTTATTAAACGGATTGTAAATAAAATAGCCCTTTAAAACACTAATTGCGAGTAGCAAAAGCAGTTAGTTTGCTTAGTTGTCGTCTACAGAACATCCAGTTGACTTATCTCTTAGTATGATCGATATGGGAAAAAACGCAGATGATTACAGAAGAAATAGAGAATGTAGGGGAGACTTGCAACCAACCCTCCTCGCATAGGGAATTTATTCTTTTCTGTTCATTGCCTTTTGTGTGAAAATCTAATGTGGGTATGGGAACCAGGTCGTTTGTGGCACGCACGACGGGTTTTCTAGCTGCGTTCCTTCTATGAGCTGACTGTCCGTTCGGGCAGCGGACAGATAACTAGCAAAGAGATGATGGATTGAAGTTGGCTGTCGCTGCATACTCTTTATCTTAAACATATTCTTATTTTATATTCGGTGTAACGGACCAAAAAACCGACAGAATTGTTTAAGCGAACCAAGATCACTTCTCGGACAACTTCTCCCATTACTGTATCGTATCGTTCCATACTACAGTCTCCTTGCCGTCAGCACCTCCACGGCCCTTGCTCGCAGTTGCCGACAGCGCTGCACTGCCCACCAGTATCTAACTGATATTCTTTCAGCACCCCTCAGTGTACAGTCCCTTGGTACTCTTTTGTATCGTAATCGTCCCCTTTTTATTTTTACTAATTCATTTAGCGTAACATATATTATTTGTAACCAGCTTGTTGCTCTTCAACATCTCTATGTGTACGTGTGTTGTGGTGATGAACGACATTGTCCGATGTAACATCTGCGGCCCTATAAAGGCGAACTACTCCTTTAGGTGTGTGCCAACCTCAACGTCCCTAGCTGCTACAGCGGAGCGCTAAGCACCGCAGCTTAAAAGCCTGCTATTTTAACAGATAACTCACTGTGTCTCTTATGATGGAGAATGAGGCCGTCATGGCTCCCTCATTCTTACTCTCGCACATGTAAAAACTTCATGTTAATTAACAAATGGGTACTGAAGAAATAGTCACCGAAAAGAAAGAAAAGTTGATTAATAAATTGTTGTCTTAGGCGGTATGAAAACCCTTATACTCACGTAAGAAATAACCCATTCGAAATAAAATCTCGTAAAAGCACGGATTTAGATAAGTCGATATTTGGGACATTGATAGGCAATCAGTCTGCAAAATATAGAAGTTCAGTGCTGTAGTACATGGGTTGCGCGTAAAGTTTCTCCTACGTCTCTGTGGGTCAGCTAGCAATTCGATGATAATTCAGCCGCAACGATTCAAACGTTTAAGAATTTTGGTCTACGCCTAAAGACTATTGAATATTTCAAGGAAATAAGGTAACTTAGAGGCTGGATCCCCAGGTCATCGTCAGACTTGAGAAGATGTGCAGTGAACAATTAAAAGTTCAAAAGTGCTTGTACACTTATATAATCGTCTGGTGTGAGGGCTAATTGGCAGCTACAATTTGTGCTAGCCCATGTTGGACAAAACTAATAGTCGTAATAGCGTAATTGCTAATTGACAACTGTAATTTGTGTCCTTTCAGGGTGGAATGGTAACAGTCCTCCGGAGTGGGGGCTAATCAGCAGTTGCGCATGTCGTTAGTCCATAGTGTTCGGCTGCCGTGTCCGTCCGTTACCCGCAAAGACACGTATGCAGAAGTTATTCTTTACTATGAGAGGCACAATTTAATCTCTCACAAAACGAGTGCCGTAAACAGTCTGCGTCACCGAGCGAAGAGACACTGCCCTGACGAAGAAACCTATCCAGTCGAGCTCAATTATTTTTTCATTTGTTTTCCCGCAATGGGTACCCCCGAGACTCTGTACAATGATGCATGAAACAACAAAAATCCAGCATAAAGGAAGCCCAAAACAAATACATGGCGAGTTCTTCAGTATATAAGGAATGTGTCTGAACTCGTGGAAAAGCACTTGCGGCAAAACTAAATAATATTGGTGCACAAACCGACGGCTACTTTACGTTCCCAGCTTGTACACACTTAAGATAAGGTTGGCAATCTGGATAAGAAAGAAGTCATCTACAAGATCCGCTGGTTGAATAGCAATTACTCCTTAATTTGGTTTCACCTCAACTACCCAGAACTACCCGTTGTAAAGCCGGTTGACTTTTCTTTTATTTACGCATTATTACTGTTTTCTACACTATTTATTTAGCATTTGCGGAGGGTTTTACCTCCATTTGCGGCACAAGGTCACTTATGCAAATTATTGGCTGCACCGAAGCGGCATATTCATATATATTAGAGGAAATCTTCAAAACAGTGATGATTTGGCAACCTCAGTCTCGAATGATCGAATGAAGAAATTTTCAACAGGCGAGCTTATCACCTTTTGGCACTCAGCGAAGGGTCACTTCGGCAAGTCACAAGTTATTGCGTGGTGTTATGGATAAGAATGTTAACCCTAAGGGTTGCGATCTTCCAGGCCTGGTTCTTTAGGAGATGAGAGAGAAGCCTTGGTAAGACCAGAGTAGTAGGAACAATGAAGGAAGTTGCTACTCGGTCTGGCATGGCGTTTGACCGTGAGGACCGTGTGAGAGCGCGGTGTCGTCACAGCGGGCAACGACGCTGCCTGCGTCTGTCCCGCTCGGGGGAATCTGGATTGTGGTCTCCAGCAGTAATCCCGGCGGCCGCCGAAAACTGCCTCTGTTCCGGGCAGCCTTGACGGTAGTTGGTCAGACTGCAACATCGTGTGTTAGTAGGTCACGCCAGACATTGAGCGAGAGAGGACAGAGCGTGGGCAGTCAGCATGACCGCAGCCTCGACGTGATGAATCAGCGATCACGGGTTCCCACAGTGGCGCTAACACCCACTAGAAGCTTGTGCCGACCGTTCTTATTGCACGACCTATTTTAATTGCCTGTGGGGTCGGATAAATCAGCGTCTCTCATCGTCAGCACGAATATTCTTGTGGGAAAGCCATTTTACCCTTCCCCGGACGCACTGGCATACAACCTTTTACGTGATATCAACAAGGACACACGTAAAAGCAGACAGTCGCAGTCTTCCAGACACCTCTGGGCGCGTCACACGCAACTTGCCCTTGCAAGGCGCATACCACTTGGACACAAACCATTGTGCTCTGGCTTCTAGGCGGAAAACAGAACAGCTGACTCCAAAAATTTGACTAAGCATTGACAACAGACGTCCCAATGTCTTAGGTGCATTCTGTTGCCTGAGGCAGCAACGCCAAGTTTTGTGTACAGTGAACCCCCCAATTCAGGTGCTTTGCGCTATCTTCTTTTTCTAGTCCTGCTTGGTTTGAATGGGCACAACCACTACGTTGGCCGCTACATAGCTGTGTTACGTTGCTTGTCCTTAGCACTTACTGGTTACGGATGTGAAGATAAATACAGAATGTCAGGTTTCAGTTGTTTTTACCAAAGCCGAAATGTCACAGTCTAATTACGCCTTGTCGAATATCCACAGAGGACACAACGAGAAGGACGTTAAGATGGAAATCAGCAGAATGAGGGTTTTAATGTGTGAAAAACCCGGAGTTGCTGTCTCAGGCAGCAGTGGCCGCTGGCAAAGTCAGGGCTGATATTTACAGGGACCAGTGGTGCCCGAGAGGGTCTATAAGTGTCCTCTGTGAGATGCGACATTTGCTTTTAAATGATTGTGAAGCGAGTGCATTTGTAGCATGATTGATGTGTTATAGTGATCGAGGGGTGTTGCATATTTAGGTCACTTGCTGCGTTGCCACAGGGTGACGCTTTCAAGTGGCTCTTGAAAAACTGCAACTAGTTGGGCGCGCGGGTGTGTCCGCCTTGTGCGCACTTATTTGTGCGAGTGAACGTCGGTCAAGCGATTTAAGTTCAAAAAATGGAGACAGTCGCCTGCAAAGGTGTTAGGAAGTTAGCCGGACCAAATGCTAGCAAAGTTTGAAGGCTTTCCTAAGGCATCGAGCCTAGCCAAAATGTCTTCGTTGGTTAACTCTGGCCGCATAACAGGCGATGACTTTATTCGCGGGATGACCTTAGACGCATGCATGCATGCACGCACGCACGCACGCGCACGAGCGTATGCAAGGCACAAAACCCCAGGGTCAACTGGTCGCGTGACGTTATCCCAATGCGGCCAACCAGGCCACAAGAGAA